TCTAAAGAAGATGGTGTGTTGTTTGATGATCCAACAAGTTACAGGAGGTTGATCGGAAGGCTGATGTACCTCACTATCACCGGACCAGATTTGTCTTATCTTGTTCAATTGTTTAGTCAATTTATGGAGGAACCACGGAACAATCACCTTAATGCCGCTCACAAGATCTTGAGGTATATCAAACGCCGGGACATGGTATATTTTATGCTGCAAATTATGATGTATGCCTCTCAACATACAGTGATAGCGACTGGGCCTCTTGCCCAGATACCAGAAGATCTGTCATTGGTTATTATGTACTGCTCGTGGGAAGTCTAGTCAGTTGGAGATCAAAGAAGCAACCAACAATTTATAGATCATCAACAGAAGCTGAATACTGCACCATGGCAACAACTTGTTACGAATTAACTTGGTTACGGTACCTACTAAATGATCTTTAAATCAACCATCTTGATCCTACTGTTTTTCATTGTGACAACAAATTAGCGATGTATATAGCGGCAAACCCCGTTTTTCACGAACGTACTAAGCATATCGAATTAGATTGCCACCTAATTCGAGAAAAGATTAAAGAAGGAATGGTAATTACTTCACATGTTCAAAGTGGATTATAGTTGGCCGATATGTTCACCAAATCATTGGGTTAGGAAACACTGGTTTCTCACATGAACAAGATGGGAGTAGAAAATATCTACAGCCCATCTTGTGGGGGAGTGTCAAAGAACGAAGATGATGTATGTGGTCAACAATCCACATCAGCAGAATGCACACGTGGTGGATGCTTAGACAGGAAAGGAAAGGCAAAGGTGGCAGAATTGCCACGTCAGGAGACTAAAGGTCGTCCCCCTCCACCTTAGCAGCAGTAGTACAGAAACCGTTGAGCCTCTATCACTATGTCTCCCAATCATTGGTGACCTACAGATTTGTTAATGATTTCACACATATTCCTTGTAACCGATTGTGCAGTGGGTGATATACTCATCATATAATTGCTTTTGTTTATTCCATTTCTTTTTTGAATATATCTTTTACTTTTTGTAAAAAGGGAAGTAAGCAGCTCCCTTGAAAATACTGTAACTTCTTCTTCATTTTATATAAATACACAAGAAAAGGAAGGCAGAGGGATATACTCTGTTTTCACCAAAACTGCAAATTTCATTTCTCTCAAAACTCGTTCAAATATTTTCAATTGGTCATTGAGTTTAAAGTGAAAATTTGTTTATCAAAAATATTTATAAATGGGTATGGAAGTCAAAATTTTGTATAATTTATTAGAAATTAATGACCATTTAATACTAATTTAAATGTTCCAATGTCAAAATGAGTTGTAATTTTGACTTTTGAGACATTGCAAAAGGTAATATTATGGTAAGATGTATTAATTGGTCAATAATAAAATATATTTTTTTTATTTTAACTACTTGATCTGATTATTATAATTAATATTTTGAGAAATTCATAAGGTAGATTTGGGAGAATTTTTAAATTTTTTGAAAATTTTAAAATCAAGAAACATATAATGAAATTTATTATCAATGTATCACATTTGATTGGAAAATTCAATGAATAACAAAAATTTGCGTAGAAATTATTTATAAATTAATATAATAATATATGCAATATTTCACATTAACAAATATTTATTTTTGATATTAATTTATGTAATTTTTTAAAATATTTTAGAAAATTGATATAAAGGTAAATGACTTTGTGGTAAAAAAAAAAAAAAGTTATATATATGTATATATATAAGACATGAATTTTTGTGAAATTAACGTGAAACAGCACAAGTTGACTTATAGCATAACACCGAATCTGGTGCAATCAAATGCAGCGAACTCACCACGTGCGCCGAATTAGTTGTATTGATTAAAGAAATGATAGGAAGTGGGGTGGCCCCACAATTCATGTTGGTGGTGAGGATTATGGAAGGGCAACTTGTTGCGTACGGGAAGTATTATGGTGGGGTCCCCCAATCTGTCAAAATCAGACGGCTCCACCCTCCACCACCACTCATCAGGCGTTGATAGTGGGCCCCCACCACAGAAGCCCTTCAAGATCGGATTCTGGGCCTCGTGGCCTTTTTAGCTGATGGGTGGGGTCCAACCTTTACTCAGTGCTCTCGTGAAGCAGCCCTAAATCCGCTACCCGGTCCCACCAATGCTCTGGAAGAGTATGTGAGCACAGACCCACTTGCCTAACAACTGGTCCCTACACAACTTGGACATGGTGGGACCCTTTTATCTGCCTGGCCCCCGTGGACCCCATTACAAAATGGTTTACTTAGGCCGGCACCCACACTATCACCACCACCTCGCTACCCACTAGCCGGCGTTGTCATAATATATATATATGCACAAGATGTGTGGGTGTGTGTATATATTGGATTGGATGGGGGGATGGGGGTTGAGCTCTTGGGGACTTATTTCTCTTTGGCTACTCTAAAAAGGGTTGAAATATTGACCAGTCTACGATTTGATAAGATGGGCGCTAGCACACCGTAAATATTATCACCTATTAAATGATATATTATGTATATGTATATGTATATATATAATATATGTGTAGGGTGTAGCAGGTCTAATCATGGACACTCACCCTCAATTTAAAACCAAGTGAGGGTATTATCAGAATCCTATACGATAATTTGATTAGTGCATGTAACTGAGATGGTAATATGCATATGTATATATATATATATATACATACACACTTACATAATTATAAGGTAAAAAGTATTAATACAAATTCTTTTCTTTTATCACTTATAAACCAAAACATACAAAATTGAAACTGTAACATGCACACAAATAAACCTTTTTTTTTTATTTTTCCCATCAGCTAAGGGAGAGACCATGCAGGGCGAAGAATATATACGTACACAAATACAGATTATAAGATATATGTATATCTATATATTTGATGCTCCCGTTAGTTGCTTGCCCAAACATGCATGAATATATATATATATATATATATATATATAGTTCAACACTTAAATTAGTATTATTCTCTAAAGAGAGACAAAACAAGAATAACTGTTTTAATATGTTTTCATTTCAAATCTATCAAATCATTAGTTAGAGAGTAAGATGTTGTGTGTAATTTAATTGTTTTTTTATTTAATTACTATAATAAGTTTTTTTGAGATCATATAATAATTGAATAATTTATATTCCATAAAAGAAGAATTTTGTATTTATTCCCAAAGAAAATTCAAACAGCAGAGCCAAATATATCTTGTTCTATGGGTAAATTTAGGAAACTAGTGTTTAACAAAAGAAAAACTACATTTTGATCTTTACGTTTTGCACAAATAAGATAACTTAAATGAATCGAATAGACCAAGTTTTGGTCAATACCAAAAGCAAGAGTAATTGGGTAGGTTTGGTCCAACTTGAAATTGAATTTGATTAAATTTTATTTAAATTTTAAGTAATTAAAAAAATATGTGAATAATTTATTTATTAATAAATTAATAAAATCAATCGTCCATGTAAGCATAAAAATTAAAATTAAAATTAAAATTAAAAATAAAAATATTTCAATTAGACAATCAAACTATACAATAGCTATTTTTAATTTTAATTCAACCCCAATAGGTAGAGATGAGAGTCATGGTTTGAGTCCACCATATCTGAACTGCCCAAATCTGGTTCGAGGCAAGACAGGTTAGGATTAGCAGAAAATTTCACCATATCTGAAAGCCAAAAGTTAAGGTTCCGCTTGTCTTCATTCCCTTTGCTATTGAGATATCGGGCCCTCATGGTATCTCGTACACATTGCATGATCGACCGTGTTCCATCAACAGCAACGCTGCTTTGTCTTCTCTTCGGCTTCACTCTTTACAGGTAAAGACTGCGGTGTTTCATTCAATATATTTATTTGTTGATGGTATCTCGTACACATTGCATGATCGACCGTGTTCCATCAACAGCCACGCTGCTTTGTCTTCTCTTCGGCTTCACTCTTTACAGGTAAAGACTGCGGTGTTTCATTCAATATATTTATTTGTTGATGGTATCTCGTACACATTGCATGATCGACCGTGTTCCATCAACAGCCACGCTGCTTTGTCTTCTCTTCGGCTTCACTCTTTACAGGTAAAGACTGCGGTGTTTCATTCAATATATTTATTTGTTGAAGTTGACAAGAAAACTTTGAAAAACTACGCAATTGATCGAGGGAGTAGAAGAAAAGTTGATTTACAAGGAAGCAATGATCTCATTCTAACTCTTACATGACATTACAATGATTTCTTCTATAAAAAAATAATTAGCCAAGTGCTTTCTTTCACCTACCTTGTTGCATGTGCAATCACCAAATCTTCTTGGAGTTACTCAATACCCAAATGTGAAAATAAAATCATTTGAATAAATTAAAATTCCAATAACATTGTTCCTAAAATATATTATATCAAAATGATCCAGTAGTATGTATACACACATAATAACTTCATTCAGTCCCACGTACACCAAACACGGCTCTGTCTTCTCCCGTCTCTGTCTCATGGTTGTCCAATCCCATCTCGTATATGAAACAAATGAACTGTAGTTTTCCGTAATGGTGTTTAAGAAGTTTCTTCCATCTGCAGAACACATTGAAGATATCTCTTCTATCAACATCACACTTAAAAATAACTTTTAATCAGACCAACTAATTGTTATTTTACTTCTTTCATTAAAATTTCAGTTTAGAATTCTAATTTTATCAAATATTTGACGGCTTATTACAATCTGAAAATCAAGTATAAAAACTAATAAATCAATCCAAACACCCTAGTGTCTATGTAGAAGAAAAGACTTTAATAAGGTTTAAAAAATTTACATGTATCCTACACTTGGGGTGATTACTGCACCTAAAAAAATGTGGGTAACTATCAAGTGCTTGAGGTCATTCCGCTTCGATCTCATGATCCTGACATGTAAGTATACCGTGTTTGAGCTCCAACAAGAAGCTCAACAACTTTTTCTGCAATTGTAAAGAGAATATCAGCTAATGAATGAAGTGCTTCGCCAAAACATGAGAAGGAAACAATAAGAAGGAAGGGATTTATATCACCTGTTAGAAGCCCAATTATTGGAACAGGTTCTAAAATTTTTTCGGTACGTTCCAGTTTCTGCCTGTAATAATCAAGAAGCACAATGCTATTGCTAAGACCCCAAGAAGATACCAAGTGTGACCATGAGATGGTTAATGAAAACATTTGCTACCTGGTATACTTGCTGAAAAAAGGATCTCTCATGAGGTAAAGTGCCCATAACAACCTTCTTCTTTTTATCTGTAAAAGACACATAAACTAGCATTATTCAGCATTGATTCTCTCACACATGCACCAGAACATGCTAAAAAATGTTGCTTATGCAAATTTTTAATTGCTTGAATTCTGGCCAAATGCTGACAATCATATTGCAATCAACAAATTTGCAATGCAAATATCTAAGAATCTCCAAACCTCATCCTTCTCGGAGGTGGAAAGATGAAAATGTTGCTCTTTTCCACCACGCCATGAATTTGTGACTTGCGTTAGAATGCCCACACCAAGAATGTCAATTACCAGAGAAAGAAACCATGGAGTCCATGATCGGATTCCATAGTTTCTGATAAACAAAACATAAATGAGTGGCCTTGTTATAAACAGCAGCTCCCCCATGACAAATAAAACTCCAGGAATGCCCTTCTCAGACAATATGGTGGAAAGAGTCCGTCTCTCAACCACTGCATTTTTAAAGATACAACTATGAATATGAGGATAATAATCCCACAAACTGTACTAAGTTGCCTTAGGTCATTATAGAATTCATTAGTAATTACTTGAAGGCTCCATAATGGCATGCTGATGCTGAACCCTCCTGAACCATACTGGCTGGTATGCCATTCTAGCATTTTCTCCAAACCTGTTCAATGCGGATATTGCCCTGCCTTCTAGAGTCCTGGGGTGTCGTCCATAATTTTGTAAATAACCAGGCCCGTTATGACCTCCAGGATTTGGTAAATCCCCAACACTGTTCTGGAAACCTGAATGATTTACTTGCTTCTCAATGTTTGGGGTCTCCCCTCCATGCAGAAGCATTTTGTATCCACTATTCCGAAACAAAGCTAATCTAACAACCACCCTGCATTACATCAAACACACAATAAATAGGCAAGTAAAAAAAATGCCAATGAAAAAGGAGAAACAAAAGAAAAAGAACAGCAGCATACACCAGATCTTAAATGTTCCTTACTTAGCAGCTTCAGTAACAGCAATAAAATTCCATTTCTTATCACCATAGTATTGTTCCGCCACCACTTCAATCAATGTTTCCAAGTCTTTCAGGGCTGATATACACAGTGGATAAGGGAATGAATAAGGCTCACCAGAGCCTGCAGGCCCCTGGGTTGGAGTTGTTTCGATTATGTGCTCGTTGATAGCAGTGATTATGCCCAAAATAGCAGTTACTGCAAAAGAGCTCTGCATCAGTCATTACAATACCAAATTCAACTTTTAGTAAAGAATAAATGAAAAAGGAAGGAACCCTGAGTTGGAATAGCTAGAAAAGTAGGTGTTGGCAATAATTTTTCCTTTTCTGTTTAAAAAATATCAGACTAAGAAGTACAATAATACCATATCCGAGGTCTAAAACATAAAGGAAATCTATGATGCCTAAGGCCTGATGTCTCCGTGTTAACTTTTTAAATATTTCATATTAATTGAGAAAGCTGGTGCAGTAACTAAATTACTACATGATTTTTTTTTTTAGAGAACTAAATTACTACACAATATTAAATAATTACAGAAAAATTATTGAAATATCATGAAATGTGAGAAGACTAAATGAGCCTTTACGACACCATAGGAAAACCCACAATATAAAGTACATGCATACAGTACTTATTTTCAGAAACCAAAAAGTGAACTAGAAACATGAAATTCAATAGGAGCTACTACCATGTCTCCAAGACATGATAGCTCAACATTTTCAATCCATAGATTACACTACAAAAAATCTTAACTACTAAAAAATATTGTGGAGGCAGAGGCAAGGTAGAATCTTTACGAATTCAACATTTTAATTTTTTTCCTTTCTGACTATTTCCTCAGGAACCAAAGAGATGATTACTTGAAAGTAGAATGAAAGAGCTATTACAAGAAGTAGCCACATGTTACCAAAATTTCACAAAACCTGCTTCTGGTCCTATCTCTGAAGCAGAAAATCTTTCAGGAAGAAACCATGTTAGTCCCTGCACCATAATTTCCAACTTTTCAATATGGGTATAAGATAAATTGCCATATAACTAATCAAAATATTAAATGGTTTCAGATAATAATACCTTATATTGGACGATCCCTGAATGCGAGCATTTTAAAAAATGAAAGCAATGGAAATTTAGCAAGACATTAATTTACAGGCATATTATCATATAAGAGAATGATTACTATGGGGTAGATCAGTATTAATATAGTGAACGAATCAAATCAAGCTCCACATAGCTAACCAATCTAATGAAGTCAGCACCAAACCTACACTGCCAATATGATTATATTAAGAGGATTAAATGAAGAACAAGCATCAAACTAGCACTCGTACACAATTCAAGATTCCTTCATCTCAACCCGAGAAATAAAAAACGATAATCCATAAACCAAACAATAACACACAATAGGTAAACATATTATACAAGTACCAGACAGACAAATTGGTCAAAAATCGAACCAGAATTTCAAACTTCGGTTCAGAAAATATAAGGCTTACGTTAGCAAGAGACTCCAGGGAGTGTATATAGTCTTTGTTCCTCCGGACCCATTTCTTGTAAGCCTCCATAGATTCTTCCTCAAACGTATCAGAAGCAAATAAAAAGCGAAGACGGAGAAACAGGTAGCCGAAGCACTATGTTTTAAGCTCAGGCCTTTACTTGCCGAGTGCTGCACGTCACTCTCCAGCAGTCCGGCGACTTTGGACAAGACTCCGAAGATCAATCGCCCAGACAAGAATAAAAACCCTTATTCCAATTTATTTTCTATTCAACTTCTGCTGGGAGATTAGAAAGCCAACAAGTTGCAGACTGCAGGCGGATAAAATCATAATAGAGGGATGAGAGTAGTTATGAGGTGTGCGATTTTGTTTTGACACAAAACAGTACTTTCTGATTTCAACCGTTGATTTGTCTAAAGCTTAAGTTGACCGTTCGATCATAAATCGTGCTGGCAATGTATACGGTTAAGATCTTGTTATAGATAGGGAATGTCGCAGAGTACCAAATCTCTTACATAATTAAAATAAACACGAGTTGTGTACCCCGATGCAATCCAATCATCAAGTTGGGCTTTAAAGAAGCCCATGAACAGCCGCAAGTCCAAACGAATAGGAGAAATTATTAAAAAATAATTTGGTAAAAATTAAAGCGATCAATTTTATGATGTAATATTTTAAAATTACTCTTAAAATAATTGTTAATTGAAATTGTTTTAGTTAAAATTTATTTAATATTTAATATATATATTTGTAAAAAATATTGCTATTTTAAAAAAATTTAAGCTGCATATTTGATAAAAATAATTGTTAACGTAAAAATTATCATAAAAAAAAAAAGATAAGTTAAAAGTAAAAGTTATAATTTTAAATGAACTAATAATAAAAATTGAAATAAGTTATTAATTTGAATTTTTATTTATATATTAATAGTAATAAGTACAACTATATAATTTAATTATATTACTGTCATTATATATTCGTCATATTTATATTATATATTATATAATATTATTTATATATACTATATATAGAAATATAGTAATTATTTGACTTTATTCTATCATTATTTGCTCATCATTATGTAGAGGAGAGAGACTGTTAAGACGTGTGAGTTGAGAAGAAATGGAAGAGGAAAGGTTTCGAATATATATATATATATGGGGGATATGTATGTAATTACATGTTTTTAGTGAGATTAATTTTGATATTTAGAATGTATATTTTCAGTAAAAATTGAATTTAAATTATTAAATGGATTTTAATTCTGATATTATTATTATAAAAATACTTAATATTTTATTCATTTAATTATAAAAATAAATTTAAAATGTAAAAATCGCAAGTATTAAAAATTAACTGAAAGGAACAAACAAAAATTATATTAATGCAAATAATCGAAAGAAACTATGCTGTATTATATTTATGTTTTTTTTTTAAAAAAATTGTTAAATAAAATTATTTGGAACACGTTGTGTAATTAAATGGTTTTTATGCGGTTTAAAATAAACCCCAAAAAGAAATAATTGTATTATATACATTAAAGAGTGGAAGAATTGATTCTGCATGCACGTTCGACGAAATTGAGCTTACCTCCGTCTAGGGTTTTCAATTGCTCTGACCAAATTCAACATGCTACTGACCCTGGAATTCGGGTAGCGCATTTCTTCTCTCTCTTATTTTACTTCTGATAATCTCTTATGCTTGTTTGGTTTACGAGAAAGGGTGGAGGATGAGACCTTTGCCCCTGATATGCATTTTGTTTCGCGTAATTCATCTGTTCTTTGTTTGGAGAACTTTTTAAGACTTCTGTGTTTCTGCTCGCTTTTGATCCTTCTGGTTTCATGTGATTACTTCTTTATGTCTGTTGTTTCGAGTAATGGAAGTACTGGGAGATGGATTTCTTGTTAGGTTTTAACATCATAAATAGTTGAACTTCAACTCTTATTGTTAAAAATAAAGAAAGAGGAAATATTACGAGTTGATGTGATTTTTGGAATTCATTGCTCTGGATGCAAAGATCATTCTTTTGATTTTTTTCCGCAGCTCTAGTTTTTATTTTTGGCTGTATTGATTCTTGTTTTCATTGTCACAAAGGCAGTTTATGCGGATCTAATGTTTACTTTTGAGGATTGTTGTCTCTCCTGTCACTGTTGTAGTGTTCAATTTTGGAGCTCCGAAAATTTTAATGAAGGCATTTATAATTTCATCCCATAACAAGGTGGAAGTTCCCAGGAGATATCCCGAGCCTTCCCCTTCACCGAGAATTATGGTTTCTCTGGGGAGCCAAAAACTGGAAACTTTGAAATGGGAAGGAAGCCAACCACTTTTAAAATGAGAAATTTTTATCTATTACTAGTGTTTCACAATTCACAGAGTGACAAGAATTTCCATCAAACTTGCGTTTTTGTAAATTCCTAACCTTGTTAGAGAAGTTCCTAATCTTGTGATTTTTGAATTGTTTGAGAAGGATGAATAAAGTTGACTTTTTATTTTTATAACAAGGTCCTCTTGTTTCTGCTATGCCTATTACCTGGAGAATAAAGAAGAAAATACTGTCCTTAGATCTTTTGCTTCTTATCCCAAGATCACAGATCTATTAATGGAGAGGCTATAGATAAATGTGATTATTTGTACTGAATATGCGTTTGGTAAAATGTAGCTTAGATCCATTAATAGAGAGGCTATGGATAAATGTGCTTGTTTGTGCTGAGTATGTATTTGGTAAAATATCACATTCTTAAAGATGATTAATAACTTATGCTTATCTGTTTAACCCCTGAAAGAATTACTTATCTTCCTGCATTTTCTCTTTTTTGACCTGATACTGGAATTCTCAATCATCTAATGCAGTGGTGGGCTTGAACTTCTTTGTGACTCAGTGAAGATTCATACTGTTAATGTTTATCCACAAAATAAAGCAGAGAAGGCAAGTTTCATTATTGCCACAGATGTTTTATGTGGCGTATAGTTCGAAAAATATTTCTTCTACAACATTATTATACATTTAAAAGAAAAAACAAAAAGAAAAAGAAAATTCTTGCCTCATGTTTTCGTCAGTCTATTGATATAGCTTCTCCTTGCCCCTCCCTCTCTTCTCAGTTAAGCATGAGAGATCTGCTTTCTTGGGTACGTACCAATTTGATCAAGGAGAGGCCTGAAATGTTCATGAAAGGAGAGTCTGTGTAAGTTTCAAGCTTCTTTCTGAATTTCCTCTACTTGTTGGTGAATTCAACCGCAATCATAAAAGAACTTAAGAATTGACAATCTGATACTGAATTTTTAGCAAGAATCAGTAATATATTTTTCCTGATAAGGAAAAGAAGATGAAATGTGAATATGTTAGGGAGTTGCTGGCACCCCTAGTTATGATTCTGACCTGGTGTACTCATAAACTATTGATACAGATTTGATGCATTTTTGCTGTAATGCAGGAGACCTGGTGTACTTGTTTTGGTGAATGATTGTGACTGGGAGCTGAGCGGCCAGCTGGACACAACCTTGGAAGAGAAAGATGTGGTAGTTTTTATTTCAACCTTGCATGGTGGATAACATCAGACTGTTTCTTTCTCATTCCGGATGAACCATTTAATACGAGAGGCTTATTGAAGTTCAGGTTCTATGGCCTTGTCTCTGAACTTAACCCAATGTCTAGTGTCTAGTGTCATATCAATTACTCCACATGGCTTGGGTGGTGCTATTGTACTTCTAGATATTTATAAATATATTGATCGTTGAAGGAGATGAGAGTAAGTTTTTGCTGATATAAGCTGAATTTCTTCTGAAGGAAACAAAAAGAGTTAAAGATTTGGAGAGTGATTATAAATTCTTATCTTTCTGTTTTCCCCTCGCAACATATTTGAGGTTGAATTGTGACCGATCTTGCTGTTGTCTTTGTGTATCTCAAACAACTTGAAAATTCTAATTGTGTCTGGCCCTAAAGCCACTTTGGGCAATTAGAGTTAGGTCTAGTCCTCGGACTTGTTTGCAGTTAATATCTTGGCCTCCAATTTGGTGCTAAGATAAAGGAGATAGAGTTATGGTGCTAAACTTAAGGAATCAGTAATCATTTGCCCAAAGAAGAGGACGTCCCTGTTTGGAAATCACCATGAATGGCAGTTTATTGGTGAAATTATTTTAACACTATTACTTCTCAAACCAGATTACCAACTACTTGCTGTAGAAGCAGCTCTCAAAAACTAAGGCTTCGCGTTGCAATACTTTTTGTTTGGGGGCAACATAGGGGAGGATTCTCATTATTGGATAGCCTTGTGGGGGGCAACATAGGGAAGGATTCTCTTTTTGTATAGCCTTGCAAGAGAGGTAGAATCATGTTGGATGGCTGATTTTTGTACCCAAGTGGGTAAGGATTCTCAGGCCATCTTCTCGTTTCTTGTTGTAAGACTAAAAGGTCTGGGATCTTGTTGTAAGACTAAAACGGTTGGGATTCAGCCCTTTCTCTTCTAATCCTTTTCGGATGATGTTTGCCACCGACAAGGAAGAAATTTGGATATGGGAGGGTTTGTTCTCCTAAGTCCAAAAAGTAAGATCATCTTCCTCGTTTCAGTGTTTAAATTTTGGATTATTTAGAAAGAGAAAAATAATAGAGATTTTGAAAATTCACCATCATTTTTTCTTTAAGTTAGATATCACTGGTTGAGGGTTTTAATATTTTGCTCAAAGGAAATCGAAATGGAATTGATATTATAGATACATTTGAGTATTTTGTTTCTAAGAGATTTATAAGTTTTTAATTCTTGGTAAATGATCAGCACCCTCTTCAAGGAATCATTTCCTTCTCCCAGAAAAAGGAATAAGCAGGTTGAGCAATCGGCAATGCCTCAACATCGATTAGTTGTAATTTTTGCAGATTCCACTCAGGTGCATAAAATGCCTAACTAATATCTGAACTTTTGTTAAATCACAATGAAAAAATGTTACGTTGTATCCCGAGCTCACCCAAATATGTCACTTAATTCTATTCACACTTCCATAACATCTTTCTATAAATGGTATTATTCTTAAGACTTTTTCCTATATTATTAATAAAATTATGATATAAATTTTCCTTATAAAATAATTTTTGGTGAGAATCTTAAAATCTCCCACAGACTGTTAATTCACCAGCAGTTATAGAACACATATTTTCTACTAACCAGACGACAGAAAGAAACTCATCCTGCTGACAATAAGGAGGCCCAAAAAGAGACATTCACGTAACAAAATGTTATTTTCAGGCGCATGTAGAGTTTCTCTAACTAAAACATATTTAACTTTATCATATTTTCTAAGAATTTAAGTAGATGAAAAAAAAATTCTCAAAATTAATGCCTGTGTTACAGAACATTGATGCCTTGACATGGCAAGCTTAATGCCTGCTGCTAATGGTTAAAAAAAAAAAAAAACCCTTACAATAAATATGACACTCATAAAAAAATATGAAATGTAATGCATCCAGCAGCAGGTTGAAATATAACAAAAGATGCCATCTATATCAACCTGGGAAAAATTGGTGAAGGAAACAACAAGAGTCATCAAAAAGATTTAAGCTAGGGACAATCATGCTTTCTGTTTTCCTTTTTTCAGTCGCTCTAGTTCTGCTTCAGCATCTTTTAATTGCTGTGTCAGAGTTGATACCCTTCGCGTCAGCTCTTCCACTGTGTCTAGCTTGATAGAAGGTTGATATGAATTTATGAAATGATGCGAAAATGCCTTCAAAGCTTCCACCCCGGTAACCTGTTACATACATTGCTTATCAAAGGTCTTCATAACTAATTAGAGTGACAGTAGCGCTTCTATATATAAATAGTCACCACTATCAGATCTTGGCGATAGAACTACTACATTTTGGAATAAATTGCAATAAGATGTGTCGAACACCAGGGGCTAACAAACTAAACTCAGCAATGAAGTGCATATTCAGTGAGCAACATGGCAATGAGGAGATATTATGACCCTAGTTGATCTGATAGAAGAATACAGATATGAAGCTAAGTGCTGCTAGTTTGGTCGCAATATTTGATATACTGCCATATGTTTAGTGCTTCATCATGGTAACCTACTGACACATCAGGTATGGCAGATTTAATTAACTGATTCAATATGTTTTATTGTTTTTTCTGACACTTGTTAAGTTGGCAGTTCATTGGATTTGAACAATTTTATAACTGCCGGTCAGGCTCCTAGATTATAGAAGCACTTGTGTTCGGTTATTGTAAGAACAAAAAGGACTAAGAAAAGAAATCAGAAAAAGTTTCTGAGTGCTAAACTTTCGGTTCTCTCTTAAGAAGCCCATATCATTTTTTTTGAGATAAACAAGCCCATATTGTTAATTTACTCCAAAACAAGATTCTATATAGAGACCATAAGAAAATGAAAATAAAAACAAAAACTAGATAATTGATTTCAAAAATATTATGAAAATTCTTGTAACACTTGTATAGCCCCAGAACGCATCAAATCGTTTCATATATAATGGCTCCTGTATGCTGAGTAAGACATCTGATAAAAGAAAAATGGGATCTGCATTACCTCTTCTGGCAACAGTGGCAGTTTAGTAATGTGAAAGTCATCATATAACATGTAGAACTGATCAAGGTACTTTGTTTGCATCCTCATTCTTGCCTTTAGCAATTTGGATTCCACATCTATAATCATAAGATAAATGAATAACCATGGCTAATTTTTCATTGAAGTATATATTCCAAAAGAGAAAAAGGAGACTAAGATAGTTATAGCTAGTACACCTTCTTCGTCATAAAGTACTTGGTTTATGATAATGTTGTGCGTATCTATCTCAAACTTTGTGAGTTCCTGCACCAGTCTCTCTGTTTCGTAGAGGGAGAGAAACTCAGGAATGCAAACGCAGACAAAAGTTGTCAAGTCCTGCCAACAGGGATATGCAAACCAAATTAAAAATATATACAGAGATATTAAAGAATGGCATAATTAACACTATTATGACAATAAGTACATGAGAATTATTATACTCATAAGGGAAGAATATCCACAAGCAACCCAGAGGTGCTCAAGCCATTGTTAATGCTTGAACCTGTTATTGTCCAGGCATGCAAAAAAAGCAGTTTACAGATGTGCTCTGCAGGTTTTTTTCAAGCCCTGTAAAAAACTTCCCCTGACCCTAAAATCATGTTCAACTTCCTGTTCATTGGAGCCCAGAAAAACTTAAATTAGCAATTATGGACCTGTAATGTTTACTCACGTTTCCAAAATCTTCAATACCACAATCATCGGACTATAATTGTCAATCGTTAATTAGTTTGATGAGATTAATGGTGAACTGTACACCAATTCATTGATTTTGACAAGTTAACAAATATAGATTTATTTACAACTCTATACGGACAAGGACCATCGTCTGTAGCTGGTTTCTGTTACTAACATTTAACCCATCAAACAAATAATGGGGACTGGGATATCAGTCAGCTTGATAAACATGCTAAGTTCCGCATCTCAAGAGATAGATTTCTGCTTAAGCACGTGTGCAGATGCTAAAAAAATGTGCATTAAATGAAATAAAATAACTACAAAAGGAGCAGGAAAAGCTAGTTCATTGGTCTACTTACTGGGTCTTTGAATTGCTTGTTTACTTGTTCAATAACATCTTTCATTCCCTCAAGCCTTCCCAAAATTGCATCCTCCCCAAATTCATCATCAATGCCAAAGAGGCGGCTCATCTGCCATAAACAGTTTTTTTGGAATTCCATATTAAATTCACATTAGATACATAAATAGAACATTTGATGCATAAACACAACATTTGATAAACAACAAAGCAAAGCATGTCCGAAAACCACATCATGGAATAGGATCCATTATCAGCCAACACAAGGGCGCTAAAATAATTTGATCTTCATGCAAGAAACTTGACCTCAATTAAATAAAAAACATTTGAGAGAAGCAAAACTGTGTGAAGGTACAAGCCATTCTAGATCATGAGTTCTTGAATGTTGATTACTAACACCATCAATTTATGGTCCATTATGTCTTTTTTGGGGGGGGGGAAGAATTGGGGTTGAGGGGGTAAAAGAAGTGTTATTACAGAGAAAGAAGACAGTTACATCAACAGAGGATAATAGATCCTCCTAATGAGAAAAAAGGGGAAACTACATGCCTGATTCATTATGCCTCCAAATTTGCTCTTCAAGGACATTATTTTTGCTAGACCTTTCTCTAAGGTTCCTGGAAACTGTAAGAGCCGGAGTGTATGGCCAGTTGGAGCTGTATCAAATACTATAACAGAATAATCCATTGTTTGCACCAACCTACATGAAAAGGACCATTATTAAATAAAAGTATGGCAAAAGCTCTAAAACTTGCAAAAGGAACAAAGTAATTAACATGTATCTCCCGGTCATGGACATTAGGGAATATATATGCATGATTAAACTAAAGAATCACAGCCAAACTGATGCTGAATTCATTGGCCCCCTCTATCACCAACAAAAAAGAAAAGGAAGGACAAAAAAACAAAGCTTACCTCTAGACATTCTTCAAAGCTCTCTAATCCAATTTTCAAACAAGAAAGAAATAAATAATATCATCAGTTACGAAAAACATTACCTAAAAATTTGATAATTCCTAACCATAAAAACAAAGTCATGGAGGAAGTTAATTACACACTAATGTGATTTACCTACCAAATTAATTAGGTCCAAGTCGTTTCTACCAAGCTCAAAGTTATCACTTTAAATCTTTAGCATTTTATCTAACTCTCAATGAATTCATTAGAGATTAATATTTTTAACAGAAAATAATGTTTACTATAAAAATCATCAATGGATTGCTTCCTTGAGCCCAAGTTGAATAGAACTATTAATTACAAAACAACATACCCAGAGATCTACAAAGTCTCCCTCATTTGCTAGGGGATGTCCACATGAAAACATCTTTAACGTTGTAAAGGACCACAAGGAATAAACACAAGCAAGTGAAAGCATGCATATAGACATTTTGAAAGACATAAATTCTTCAGTGTTGCTATGAGATCATTATGAGAACTAAGAATGTAATTCTGCATCATAGCGAATTGTGCCAAATGAAATCATTACAATAATTCATTCCTCAATCAACAAAGAAAATAGAATTTAAAGAAGATAACTCAATGTGTTCAACACAATCAAACAAAAAGAAACAAAGTTATTACTTGAGCATTTCAGCAAAACTCATTGCTTCATCTATTCCGGGAATTGCATTGGCTAAATCAGAAAACAGGCTATCCATTCCTTCGGCACCACCCATATCTTCATTCTCAACAGTAGGATCCACCTCCTGTAAAAGATCAAGCCCAAAATAATACGGTGAAAGGCAACATCAGGACTTTAAGTTTACAAAGACTATAAGAAACTAACACAATAATACAGTGAAAGTCAACATCAGGACTTTAAGTTTACAAAGACTATAAGAAACTAATACAATGCGAAAACAGAAGTTTGCAAGTTATAGTACAGATATAATCTAGTGAATACAGCTTTACAGCTTTTGGGCTATTCTTGGGAAAAATGTACTTAATTTGAGGAATTCATTCCAAAATCCATAATAATCTTAATTATAGGAGGATATAAGCTCTTCACAAAATAATAAAAACTGAATTCCTAGCCAATCCTAACTAGAATTGAGTCAATATATTTTGAATACTATTCCAAACATATCCTTACCTCTTTCCTTATTTGCTTTGGAAACAAAAAAAAAAATTCCTGCTATAGCTCATAAAGAAGTATCAAGCAGAAATTGACTATTTATAGCCACTGCAGAATAAAGTTCCAAACGGATTTATCATGTAAAATTCATACGAAATCCCATAAATTCCCCAAGGTGCGAGACAAAACAAACAACTCAAAATCCTAAATTTATCATAAACTAAAACTTACAGAAATTAACCATAAAATTTAAACAAAACAGGTGGGTATCAAGCTGGTTATCCCATAAACCGATCCAAAAACCAACATCGACAACACGAACGATAACATCACCCCTTCAATCACGTTTCAAGTGGAAAACTCATAAGTAAAACACTACCAAAACCAGATACCAAAAAACCAAAGAGAGAAGAAGCTGAAAGGTACCATAGCATACAAATTGGTGAAGCCATTAACCAAAGTGGGTGTCTTGGTGAAGCGTTGCTGAAAGGCATCACTGAGATTGTGAGCCGGGTCAGTGGATATGATCAGCACAGAGGATCGGACCCGAGAGAGAAGGATCGATAGGATCGAGCTACAAGTGGTCTTGCCAACACCGCCTTTTCCTCCTACAAAAAGCCACTTGAGGGTGTCTTGGTCCAGTATGTTCTGCACTGTTGCCTCTGGAAAATCCGACTCCATCTTCCCAAAGCAAATTTCACTTTCCTCTTCTTCTGCTTGTAGCTTTCGGTTGTTTTTTTCTCTCTCTGTAAACGGGTTGAATCAACACAGAAATCCAGAGAGAGAAAGGAATTGTTGGCTTATAGATGAATCTTGAAGTATGCTTCTCTCCAATTTTAGTCAGAACCCGAATTCTGAATTCAATCTTTGTCAGGATGTAAAAATTTGAGCAGAGCTAAGTTAGGGTTGATAAACAGAGAAATTCTGCGGAGACCAAGATTTTACTCCCTTCCATTCATGCATATGTTATTTGAGATTATTTTATTTAGTATCGAATTTATTAAAAGTAAACTTTAATTATATTTATTATTATCAAATTTAACATAAATAGCATACATTACCTTATAATTTATCTGAATTAAATTTTTACAACATATTTTTATTTTATCTTCACAAAATTAATAGTCTTATTTTTAATTTCTGCATTACAATTATAAATTTTCAGTTGATTTAAATTCTAGACTGCTTGCTTACAAATTGATTCCAAATTCGACCGGCATTTTATTTTTATTTTTTTATTATAATGTTTTATAGCAAATAAAAGGAGAAAATATGAATAATTAGAATAAAGATAAATAATTTTAAATTAATTAATACATATTGATGTGATAATTTCTTTAATAAAAATTCATAGACTAACTCTATGAATCCATTTATAATAATAATAAACGCACGATATATAAACTTAATTGTACAAATTATTTGCTATATTATTCCGTACAAATTAAATGTGTGAATTGTTCATTTACAATTGTCACTAAAGTATTAAGATATTTTAAAACTATAAGTAAAATTAAGAAAATACAATTAAAATAGCATGGTAATTTATATTGATTATCTTTATTTATTTATGCACATATTACTAAAATTGAATATGACAAAATTAATTGCATCCATGTTTAGAATAAATTTAAAATTTTTATAATATTTACTTAAAATATTGTACTTAATTTATATAAATTTTATCAAAATTTAAATCCTTAATAAAATTCGAATGGAATTCAAGTTATAATTTTTTAATATAATTTTTAATGAATTATTTTAGTTTTACTTAAACGTCACATGTATTCAATTTTTAATTTTACTTGAAACAATGTATAATTGCATCAATATGTATTCAATATCAAATTTAAGTTTTGCCAATTTTATTAGTTTTAATTATTTTCTAAATATTTTTATTTCTTATTTTGATGATTTCTCCTTTTTATGAATTTCTTAAAAAATAAGTCATTTAAAAATTGGATAAAAGTAAATTATGACAAATAATAAGTAGAAAATAAATATTAAGGGTAGTTAGATTAATTATATATTTATATATATGTGTGTGTGTCTAAGGAGTGGTGTTGTCTTTGCAAATTTTGGATTCCTCCATCTCTTAACTTTTTGCTCAAAGTAAGATAAATACAGAATATAACTATTTGAAGAAAAATATAGTTTAAAGGCAGTCTTCCATCCTTTTCTTCTCACAATTCCAGAAAAAAAGAAAATACAGTTTAAAACCAACCTCAATTTCTCCTCTGCAAAACTTCTAAAAAGATATAAAAAGGAATTTTTCTCCTACTTTTGCTCACTCCCTTACTTCGAAACTAATCAAACATATGATAGGAGATCTAACGCTTCTGAAACACCATTGTAGGACCCAAAGACTAGTGATAAAAACTCACAAGATAGAGATATCTACAGTTCCACTAAATGATTATAACAATACCAGCAACAAACAACCGTGAGCTTGTGGTAAGCTTTAGATGTACTGTACAGAAATTTATGTACAGGAGCAGAAGAGAAGACAATCAGTATCAGTAGAGTGAATTGTAGGTAAAGCAGGTAGCAATAATGGAGGAGATGCAGATGATAAGTGCAGGAACCAAGGTGACATTCAACAGCCTATTTTCACCCAAGTAGCCAGATAGCGTGATTGTTCCATCAGCAATTACTCGGGCCAGGGTTCCGGCCTCTGTCGATAGCAGTCCACCATTGTATGTCCCCCGGGAAAGCCTCGACGACATGACCCGAGATAGTAGTGATAGATTAACACCTGCACCATCACCAGACATTTTTAAGAACATTTACAAGTAAGAAATCATACTGAATCAAGAGGTGAATATGCCAATTAATTACCTTCAAGGACTTCAGCAGATACAAATATGATAAGTGCTGAGCCGACATATTGAGGGACAGAGTAAGGGATCAAAATGTGGAAGCTTAGGAGAATACCTATGCACAACATAATTTCAGATGCAAGTAGAAGTTGCCTGCAATTAGATAATTCATCAAGAAAATACATCATCTGAGCATAAAAACTCCTATTAAGTTTGAATTTGATTTAACTTTTAATTACATGAAACATTAATGAGAATACAAAATAAAATAAGATCAAGATTGAATGAAACAATTCTATATCTAATTCAAAGTAGTTGCTTTTGTGATTCCTTCCTTGACAAGTGAGAATATAATTGTCAGTGAAGTTAAAATTATGAATAGAGTTGGTTAAATTACACATCGAATATGAAAATGACTAAATTCTATGCAATAAATAATGAAGATATAAGAATAGAATCATAATAAAATAGACTTAACTGAGCCTAAAAGGTTTTATATTCTATTAAGAGCTTCTTAATACATATGCAATTGGTTGAAACAGTTTTACCATTTCTTATTTCTTTTAATCACCCACTTTTATTCTATAGGATTGGTGATTGGTGAAAAATCATAAGCACTAAGTAAATGTAATGCAAGTATTCACCACGAAGTGAGTTGGAGTTAGAAATTTTAGGATCTTTCCGCACATTTAGTTGTTTACCTTTCTTCAAATATGTTGCTGATGTAGTTTCCAACAATGATATTTACTGGAAGCACTGTCAGTCCAAGACATGCAAGAAAGATTGCTATTCTGCTGGTTGACCATATAAAGTAACGTGCAGTAATGACACTGCTTTCAGCCAGCAAAATCTCCATTACATACTTGAGCATGAAGTATACAAATAGTTGAACCTGGGCAAACAACATCATGGTTCCAGCATGAAATGTCAGACTAGGCAAGATGAGAATCATAAGCAGTTATACAGGGACAGCGGTTAAGGATCCAGATTGACAAGGCCTAATGAAGATGCAAAGGCATTCAGTAGTAAATCTAATAATCAACAAAGCAAAAATACACAGAGAAGAAGTGTTCTCTATAAGTATGAACCGGATTGCTTCCACAGGAGTTTGAATCACAGATGATCTTGCCTTTCTAGAAATTTCTATTAGTTATCAATTAAAGTTACTTTTTTGAGAAAAAAAAGAAACGTGTGAATTGCTCCTAAATCGAGTTTCAAAACCTTCACTGCAGGCTACTGTCTTAGCAAATTCAGCAAACAGAATGGATTCAAGATTATGAAAACTTTCACCTCTATTCTCAGTACCGTTTTCCTAAGTTTCTATTGGCTGTTTTACTTCTTAAATTGAGACTCATGTCTGATTCTATTATCAATGAATTAATTCTTGCAGTAAGATTCTGTTTGTCAATCCACTTGTATATATACGTGTATTCAAAGAACATAAATTTCATCAGGTGTATAAACTAATGAACCGGAAATAATACATAAAAATTTTTAGGTTACTTGCCTATTCAGTTATGTAGGTTAATAGCAGTTGAAAAGAAACTTTCATTTAAACTTTATACCTTCACATTTGGTGTAAGCAGTCTATATGCTGAGGCAAGAGAAGTCGCAGGCTTATGAGATTCTTCAGAGTCTTCTTCACCATCATCAAATTCTTGGTCCTCATTTTGATCTTGTTGCTTAGCTGCCGATTTCAAAAGCAGAGGCTGCAGACAACCATTCTCCACAGCATTATTTGCCAATTGCGCTGCCATTTGACAAAAAAAAAATGGAAAAGGAAAAATATTAGTATAAAGATAATTTTGTAACAGAAGAAGACATCAAGGCACATATTTTGATGAAGAAATTTAACACAGAAGAAGAGTGCAGTAGATGTAGGATCTGCATTCTGAATTTTCCCTTCCTTTCCCCCCATTGTGACTGATCAATATATGATATTTGAAGAGGCATTAAAATGTTGACACGAATTAGAAGAAAGAGTGCAATGGAGAAACTTGGGGAAGAAGATAGATGCAAATTGAGATCTTATTTGAAGTTGGCTGCTCCTATGAAATTTTAGTGAAGGGACGTAACAAAAAGAGGAGGCACCATAAGTAACATAAAGAAGAAATATGCACAAACTTCTATCAGAAAAAAAGAAATATGCCATAAACTGAAATATCAAAATTATAAAATTTATAGCCCGGGCCTCAAGGTGACCAGTCTAGTTGTATACCAGAATTAGCTTCCTCTGCCGCAAGATTCTCTTTAGTCTCTTGAGGAGGCTCTCTAAAGGAAATCCGCAACCACAGTAGATAGACAAGCCACAGAATAGCCATAACCCAACCGGGTAAAGTATCCTCGTTAAATGTGAGTTTATAAACCTTAAAATCTGTCTGAAATAAGCAAGCAAGAGCTGGACCACATGCCATTCCAAGTGCACTGGCACTAACAAAACCAGCAGAAGCCTGCATTCGTAGTTTGAGGGGCACACAGTCACTGATATATCGTCTATTAACCGCTCTTGCAGAACCCAACCTGAAATACCAATAACGTCAAGTGATTAGTTAACGTGGAAAACCAAGAAAACAATATCATTTTAAATCAAGAACCAGTACGTGCTATGTTAACAAAAATAAGAAGTAATCATAGCAAGAAAATGACAGTGAACTCACATACCCACAAAATAAGCGACCAATAAGAAGAACTGCTATTGAATTAAGGTCATAAGCCAGAGCATACAAGGTGTTCCCAATCAGAAGAACAACACTACTGAAAACGAGTGGCCTCAAGTATGATCTATTTGACCATGCACTGAAGTAAACTGAAGAAAACACCTGTGCAATAGCCATCGACCCAATCACAACACCACAAACTGTTGCAGCAGCTCCAAGGCTTATGGAGTAGTCATCTGCTGTTGGGACAATAATATATGTGTTGGCCATATACAGAAATGTATTCACCAAGTTCAGGAGAAGAGACATAAAATGATATTTCTGCTCAACATGATCTTCAGATAAAGTTGACAACTCCTCTTGCATAATAAATGCATGCTTTGCCAAATATTCAAGGAAATTTGTTGAGTTGGACAACCTATTTACCGCTGCTTTGATAGAATGAATAACAGGATCCTGCAATTTCGATTCTTCACGTTATTAAGAAAGCGATAAATGCAGAATCAATATTAAATTGGACTGATGGAAAGGTAAGTGATATCATAAAGTCACTAAGAAGATTATAGAATGATATCAGTTCCGATTAATACATGTATGTTTAATGACATTCCAAATGCTAAAATTTGTATGTATATTAGTTACACTTCAATTATTTGCTACAAAATCTAAACTTATACAATTACAAAATTTAAATTACATAATGCAAAGGTCTAATAGCTAGAGTACGTATATATGATGACTAAAAGGTTAAATTATTCTTAAACTAGACTAGCTATTCTGCTGTTATTTAAAATGTAGGTCATCCATGTCCTGGTTATTCCTGCAAGTTTTAGTTCAAAAACTATATATCTGCGCAAGCACAGAAATAGTAATGGCTTTTCAACAATAATCCTAGAAAGAGTGGATTTATTTCCAAGGATTCTCTTTATATAGAACAAAAATGTAGACGCAATGGCAGCCCTTTCCCAGTGTCGACTAAAAATTCTATGATTTGTGAATATCAATAAAGCTCTCTAAATATTTTAGAACCTAAACCAATCCATAATGTTGAACAAGATAAAAAGATCAGTGATTAAAATCATATATTTCAAAAAGATAAGAAAGACAACCGAGTGAGATAGAGAAGGTTGATCATATATTGATACATAGATTCCCTGATGGTCCTGCAGTTCTACAAGATTGCGTGAAATGGCTCCAACAACAGCACCAATACCCTGCACAATTCAAAAGAAAATTGTGTTTGCTGCAGATCATATGCCAATAGAAAATGAAGCATTTATATGGACTTATAACTAAGGGACAAGAAAAAGGACTATTCTTATTTAGATTTATTACATACCACTTGCTTAAACACTTGTCGCAGCTGAGAATAAGGATGATTTGCACGGGTTTTAACATAGTAGTCAGTAAACTTATAGCCAAAGCGCTTATCAAACTTCTTCAGAATCTTACGCAGACCAGTAGCATTCATCTCAAGGAAAAAGAGAAGGCGTAAAAGATCCCTCGCAATTTCTCGGTATGCTTCTTGCAATTCAGGTATTTTTGATTCATCTGCCTGCTGTAAAAGAGCACCATGCTGTTCTCCAAGAGATGCTAATCTGCTTGCAAGTAATCCTTGTTGTTCCAGCAGAAACAAGACAACCTTTTCAATCTAAAATTTTCAAAACAAGCAAGAAAGTGACATTTACAGTGTACTCACACTTGAATGGTTGTGATATCGTTCGTGCATAAGGAGTATCCAACTTTTCACAGGAAAAAGCCAAAAGGGTAGCATGGTAAGTGCTTTTAATGTGTGAGAAATTCAAACATGTTATCCCCAGAAAGCAAAAAATATGCTCATAAAGTAAAGATAAATATAATTAGAGGACCTCCATGCTTTAGAGTAACAATGTCACCAGGCATCTGTAGTGTGCATGCTGAATATCTCTGGAATTTACTACTCATAAAATCTGGTTTAACTATATATTTCCAAATTGAAGATTTAGGAAGAACCAAGTAAAAATTGCTTGACCCCAAAAATTAATCATAAACAAGCAGTCTTAGCTAAAATACAAATCATACGGAAATGATAGATGGATGCACAGTCAGCAACAAAAAAAGAAAATATCATAAACCAAGGAATAAAGCTGCATGTACCACGAGCATGTTATATATATCTATCTACCTGATCATCTAGCATCCTTGAGAAGTCCTTGAGAACAAACTGACGATCTTGCATTCCAGCCTCAATTTGTTGTGCATATCGATTGACTTTCTTCTTCAATAGCTTATAGTTAATATAATACCTGAAGGAATCAAATTTCAAGCAGAATGAAGATTATCATTAACAAGACAATAATAAGATGTATTAAACCAATCTAATTATTTGGAAGAGAGAAAAGATTTTTACAAGAACACTTTTGTCCTAAATAGAACAAGCATAGAGATTTTATGACTTTAGATCCTGCGTTTCAAAAGACCTCTGAATTATAAGATAAAAAGCTGGCAAATGACAGGCAAGGCTATATTGTGAAACAAGAATGTGAGAATAAGTATGTTGTTGGAGAGAAAAATAGATATAAAAAAATGCTGGAAGTTTTTCAAGTACACACCCTTGCCATTCTTGAATTTGGGATTCTTTCAATTTCTTCCCAAAGGCAACCATCTTGAAGAAAAATCTCTGCCCAATAAACAAAATGAGGAAAACAGTAATTCAGTTCACCTGCTGCATTTGGAAAAAGGAAAACAGTAAAAAGAAAGTCGCATCTGTCAGTCCTTTTTCATTCATTTCCATCTATGTCAACTTGGTTCTTTCCCCTCAAAATTTCTCGAGTACAGATACTCACGTTACCGGGATCGGCTGAACTAAAGCTAAAGCTCATCCCAATACGATGATCATGACTAAGGCCCCATGAGAAAATCAAAATACACACAGCATTAAACAAATTACCATTGACAACGCTCAAGCATTGAACAAAAATTCAGTATTAAAAGCTGAAATCATTAGAAATCAACACAATCATTACCAGGACGACCAAGCTCGAGTCCCTCTTCTTGTACATGAGATTTTCCAGTGAAAAACAAGGGGGTGATATGCATCAGAGGGTTTGTAAAGACTCATCATGCCAAACGAGGAATCGAAACTTCCTCACTGATAATCGAATTCCGCGAACGACGGAGGGAGTAAATGGTTGCGGGAAATTTGTAATGTGGTTGAGAGAAATAGCTAGTACACACACTGATCTCATGATACGCTAGAAATTGCATATTTCTCGTTGAAGTTGAGAACATATTCTTAATTCAACAGAGGCGTTTGGAGGATTAGAAAAAAGATTGACGATTAGCGCCAAAAACCTATCGTATATTAACTATAGATTTCTTGAAAATAATAATTTATAAATTTTAGCATGCATACACTCTTTTATCTTATTAAGTTGAATATAAATATAAATTATGAATACAATAAGTAATATATATTTTTTGAGTTTTATTTAATAATTTATATGTTAAATTTAATTACGATTAATAAATTGTACTTAATTATAATTTATATATTCATATTTTTAAAAATTTATATCAAGAATTATAAATTTTTTTTAAAAAAAATTAAGACTTCTATTACTCTCTCCTTATTCTTTCTCTCATTTCTAATTTATCTCTTAATTTTTTGTTAATTAAAAGTAAATAAATATTAAATAATAGTTCAATGCTTATTTTTAAACTAAATATAATTTTCAAATGGTAAGAAATAACAGTATAATATAAGATTTTATTTAAAATATATTTAGATTATCTTTTAGTAATTTTTTTCTTGTCATATATAAATACTGAACAAACTAATTCTAATTATTACAAAAAAAGTAATCTGTATAATTCACATTTTGATTTTATTATATTTAAAAGATTTTATTTTATATATAATTGTCAACTTTTAAATATTAATTATTGTAGAAAATATTTTACACTGTAATAAAACTAAACTAGAAAACTAATTCTGAATTTTTTTTTTTTTTTCTCAGCAGTATCATAATTAAATCTCTTATAACTGAAACCTAAATAAGCTAATAATTAATCAGTTTTATAACAAGAACACTGAAATTTAATTTCTCCAAGATTAAATAATTTATTGAATCAGAAAAACGTAAAATAATGTTCAATCCGGGAGCTAGATTGAATATATAATATGTTTTATATATATATCTTGCATGTATATAGACACACCAACGTACATACGCACTCATGGATCATGAATTTGTAGAATGTTTATATATCCACACATATAGATATAATGCGCTTATATATCAAAACTTTAATTAATTGACTTACAATAGTTTATCTCCAGTCTGCGGTGATGAGAGAAGCTGTTAATGGAGCTCACAACTGTATGGACCCAAAAATTTCCATTGAAGCTACTGGGTGGAGCTTTTGCTGAGGTTAAAATGGAGAGGAGACCGGCAGGTCCAATATTTACAGGAAGAAGAAGAAGAAGAAGAAGAAGTCTGTGAATTATATGCAAGTATATATGGGGTGAGGAAGAAAGAATTTGGTACAGTTACCTCATTACCACAAATAGTTGTACTACATAATACGTGTTGGCAGATTACTGATTCGGCTCTTTACGGCAGCGAAAGGTCATTAAAAATCCCTGTTTACCTTGCTTTATTTTGCTTAGTAAATTTCCTTTTTCAGAGAAGAAGACTGTAATTTGCTTAGTAAATCATATAGACATATGATTATGTGTGTGTGCATATACATGCTCCATTCTATTTAAGTGCTAACGTAGTATATATATCATGTTATTAATTGTTTTTATTAAATCTTTTGTATCGGTTCATGATGTCATCATTATGTTGTAACATGTGGGTTGATAAATATAAAGTGACAATTTTAACTGTTTTGTATTGGTTATCATTTAATCATATTTTATTATCATTTTACTATTATTTGTTACAATAATTAATTTAATTCGTGATATTATTTTGAAATTAATTAATAAAAAATAATTAATATACTCTCAGGACAATATTTTATTACAAATTTTTTAACAAAAACTTTTACGTTTGTCAATTAAATAATACATATTATTTATAATATAATAAAAAATAATATTTAAAATAAAAATAAATCAAATTATAATTCAACCCCAATTATAATTTTAATTATTTAATTAAATAAGAATTTTTTTATCAAAAAAATTATCATAGTAGTAGTTAATCAATAATAGAGCATTGGTAATAAGTGTGCATATCTTTCACTTTAAGAGAACAGAACAAACATCACACACACACATATATATATATATATATATATATGGATATGTATGAACTTTAAGTCCAGCAGCAACAAGTTAAATTTATTGAAGTGTGTTAAATATATAATTAAATAATCTGCAACAATGGCTTTGATTAATGGTTGATGGCTAATGAAAAATGGTTAATGTGATATTAATTAGGAAAGATATGCTTTGTTACTCCATATCTGGCCTAGCTAATAACATGCAGTAGCCTAAGCAGAGGACAGATTAATTAAGAACTTAAAACAAAAATTAATTAATTAACAAATTAAAGTGCAAATTTCCTCCCCCTTAATATTTAGCGTGGTTGGTTCTTGACCAATATTTATTGACTATTCCGGGACTTGAATCTTATCCACTTCCCCATATTGTCCTATTCTCTTGTTATTTTACAACAACTTCACAAACCCATATATACATATATATATGTATATGTATAACAAACCCATATGTAACACCTGGCCCGATAATTTGACTCCGGAATAATTTAATATTAAAAAAATAATAAATTAAAGTAATTTTAATTTTAATTTTTTTTGTTAATTTTTGAAGAAATATAAAATTTGAATGAAATTGAAATCGATTTTGAAAAACATTGTAGAACTGTGAATAAAGGAAAGTGTTTTTGAAATAAAAATATGGGGTCAAATTATAAAAAAGAAAAATGCGGGCCTCATGGGACAGCCACATCAACAGCACGGTGAGTTAAGATGCGTCACGTAGCAGACACGCTGGCACGGGTTTCATGCAAGAGTCACGCGAACGATCCGCATGCTTGGACGATCCGAAGGGAACCCTAACCCTAGCCGCCAGAGAGGAGAGAGGAGAGGTAGAAGAGGGGCGGCCAAAAAGCAAATAAGTTACTGAAGAAGGAGATCACAAAAGAGGAACAACTGAGTTGTCGCACCGGGAAACCCTCCACCGGTAGGGTCTTGGTTTTTCATTTTTTCGATCAACAGAGGCCATGTAATCTTATTCTTTTATAAGTTTCCATGCAAAACTGGCTAAAACCGACCAAAAACAGCCAGACTGAGAGAAAGCACCGCCGTGGGCGGCAGAGGCAGCACCGACGTGTCGGAACCCTAAATTGGCTGAAAAAATTTAAAAATGCTTATTTTGATTTTTTAGGGATATTTTGGAATACATAACGTGTATTTTTTATTTTCACAGAAAAATCCAAAAAACCCGAGAACCACCAAGAGGCGCAATAAAAAAGACAATGTTTCAAACACCGATCCGGGGTAAGAATTCCTCACTATTTTCTCCCATTATGGTAAATTAAAGTCTAATAACTGATAATGATGTATTTTATAAAAATAAAAAATTCTTAAAATTAATTACAGGTTACTAGTAAAGCTACAACAAGACTAAGACAAGTCTTAGTCTTGTTGTTTACTTTCTCCTATATTGCCTAAAATGCTTATTGTTGCATCATGTGCTGTAATTTATTAATTTTAATTATTTTCTCGTTAGTAGTTTATCTACCCGGTTTGTCCCTATCTGTTGATTGATTTGCGTATTGTCCATTGTATGACTTACTGTTGATATGTAAATATGAAATATTGGTATAAAATTGTGATTGGTTGATAATATGGATATATGTATGAAAGGCTCATTGGGTACTATAAGAAAGGGTGTACGGACCTGCTACATAGGAAAATTCTACCGTGAATATTATCTCAGTTGAACGGGGCTAAGAAGTCCCATATTGGAAGGGGTTTGGAGGTATAGATACTCTCATACTAGACGGGGTAGTGAGTTGGTGGTATGTTTGGAGCTCATTACTTGATGGGGTATGAGAACGGTCGGTTAATTGATAAATTGGGTATTGGGTCCACGTATAGGGGGTATCCCTATAGACCCCCAGAGGTATTGGTAAACGGGTAAGAAGGTAAGTTTACTATTATTATTTATTTAAATATGTAAGAAAGTGTTATCTTGGTTATTGTCTTCATATATCAGTTTTAGAAACTCATAAAGGTAAGTATGAAAATAACGATTTTTATGTCAAATGAATTTATTTAAAAAGAGATAATGATTATATTGGTTATTTTACTATTTTTACCAATCTTTAGTTTTTCGTATCGATGTTAAGTGTGATATTTTTACTAGACTAGTGTAGCTCATTCTCCTTATTTAACAATTTAATATTAGGAAGACCAAGACCTAGATCCTGAGTAGGAAGAATGATACAAATAAAAGCTTTCTCTCGCATCCCATTAGAGTTGCCCAACGGAGATTAACTCTGTAGGAATTTTAGTTATGTTTTTATTTATTTATTTATTTTGTTATTGAGAACTCCCTAAAAGAGACATTCTCATAACTCTATTAGACATCCTGAATCATTGTGTAAGGAATATAAACCATAAACCCTTAATTACTTTCACTTACATTTTCTGAATTCAATATTTCCATTTCCTTAAGTTTTCAGCCTTTGCAGTTGGTATCAAAGTCACATTCCTCGAAACCATTCCTTATAGAAAGATTTAAATTATTCAAATATAACCCGACAATCAATTTTTTCTCGTGAAATGCATGTACAAATATATGAGAAGAGGAAGGTCGCCACTAAATAGAGCAACCTGGAATGGGTCGCTTTGAGAGGATGTCGAATGACTATTTGAGATGCTGGAGAGATTTATCTCTGCCCAGCAGGTCCAAGAAGAGAGGATGAAGCTGCTTGACCCTCCACCACTATCACAGTATGAGCCACCCCTGCAACGAGAAGATCCAGTGCCACCCCAATACAACCTTACTCCTCCACTGTATCATCTGGCACCGCCACAGTATAATCTGATGCCATCACCGTACAACCAGGAGCCGCCATAGGGCCACCCAGCCCCTCCCCAGCATAATCCAGCCCCTTTTCAACAGGACCCAGTTCTGCCCATGATGGACTCAGCCTATATTGAGAGGTATAAGAGACTTAACTCATCTATCTTTGCAGGGGCATCCACTTTCGAAGAGGCCGAGTACTGGTTAGTAGAGATGAAAAATGCTTTCGCAACTCTTGGAATGATTCCCAAATAGAAAGTTATACTTGCTACCTACATGCTCGTGGGTGAGGCAGGTCGCTGGTGATAGCTGAAGCAGGCCACCCTGTCCATTCCGGTTACTTGTGAATAATTTTTAGTAGTTTTTAATGCAGAGTACCTCCTAGAGCATTTTCGACACTTGAAGAAGATGAAGTTTACACACTTGGTTTAGGGTGAGATGACAGTGTCTGAGTATACTCAAAAATTCCTGAAGTTGGGTCAATATTCTCCTGAGAGCATGATGGACGAAGGTAGAAAGATAAAGAAATTTGAGTGGGATCTCCATCTTGAGATTAGGCAACAACTACTTGTATTCGAGCTCAACACCTACTCAACAATTCTAGCCAAGGCACAGCTAATAGAGAGGAACATTTACATCTTCTGTCCAGCAGTGGGCAATTCCAAACCCCCAGTTCCACACCGCGGACCAACACCTACTACATTGATTCAACATAACAAGAGACCTAGGTCCGCGACTCAACTCCTTTTTAAGTTCTAGCAACATGACGCAGTAGGACACAATAGGACTTACCGACACTGTGGTAAGGATCATGGGGACCAACCATGCTATCGCATCAACAATACATGTCGCATATGTGGAAGTGTTTAACATTACGCACGAGAGTGCCCGCGAAATCAGAATCAGACCATATCTCCAATCCGAGGCAGAACCTACATCTTCACTCAATAGGATGCTGAAGCCAACCCGAACGTAATACATGATACATACATTATCTGTAATCACCTTGCACATATTTTAATTGATATTAGTGCTTCACATTCTTTTGGTTCATATGCCTTTACAAAAAATTTAAAGGTGTTATTTGAAAATCTTGATTCTATGCTGCTTGTGTCTACTATTGAGAATAAGACACTACAATGGAATATCATATACAAAGCTTGTATCATAAAAATAGCAGATAGAAAATTGAGTGTAAAGTTGATAGCACTAGACACATGAGATTTTGATGTAATTCTCGGGATGAATTGGTTAATGGTATATTACGCCACCGTATATTACTTTCATAAAAAGCTTGTATTTAATATTTCTAACGAAGAGTCCTTCACAAATTAATAAAAATTTTAGACGTTATTCCCTCATGGTAACTGCATTGTTTATATGACGCTTTAACTCAGTTGTTCTTTTCTACATTAGGCAAACTTAAGAAAGAAATTTGCATTCAAGAGATTCTTGTGGTTCGAGAATTTTTGGATATATGCCCTAATGAACTATCTGAACTGCCGGTGGATAGGAAAATTGAATTTACCATAGATTTTCAGCCTGATACCTAATCCATTTCAGTTACCCCTTATGGTATGAGTCATTTTGAAATGGAAAAACTATGAAAACAGATCAAAGAATTGCAGGATAATGAGCTTATTCTACACACTATATCACCTTAGGGTGTTGGAGTCACGTTTGTAAGAAAAGAGGATGGGTCCTTGAAGTTATGTATTAACTACAAGGGATTGAACATGATCACAATCAATAACAAGTACCCCCTCCCCAGGATTATGATCTTCTAGATCAGTTATAGGGTGTTTAGGTTTTTTTCCAAGATTGACTTGCGTTCGGGTTACCATCAGGTAAAAATTAGGACAAATTGACATCCGTAAGACGACTTTCAGAACCCAGTACGAGTACTATGAGTTTTTGGTCATGCCATTTGTGTTAATCAATGTACCAGCCATTTTTATGGACTTGATGATTAGGGTTTTTAGGCAGTTTTTGGATCAGTTCGTCATAGTATATATTGATGTCATCTTGGTCTATTCAAAGAGCAGAGAGGAACATGTTTAACATCTAACTCAAGTTTTACAGGTTCTCAGGAAAAAGAAGATTTATACAAAACTGAGCAAGTGTGGGCTTTGGCTTGAGCAGACTACCTTCCTATGGCATATAATATCAAAGAATGGGGTGTTAGTGAATCTCGAGAAGGTTGAGGTAATAATGGGTTGGGAGAAATTGACTTCAGTTAAAGAGATTCGTAACTTTTTGATGATGACATATTATATCTAGATTTGTGGAAGAATTTTCGAGCCTAGCCGCCCCTTTGACCCGATTTACAAATAAGAACATCAAGTTTGAGTGGAATGATGACTGTGAAAGGAGCTTTACAGAATTCAAGAAGTGGTTGACTACCGCGCCAGTTTTAGCTCTGCCGAGTGGGACAAGTGAATGCACAATGTACAGTAATGTCTCCTACCTAAGGTTGGGTTATGTTCTGATGCAGTACAAAAAAGTAATAGTTTATGGGTTCAGACAGTTAAAATGTCATGAAAAGAATTACCATACTCACAACTTGGAACTTGCCGCTATTATCCACGCCTTGAAACCCTGGTGCCACTACTTATATGGATAAACTTTTGAGATTTATACAGACCATAGGAGCTTAAAGCATATATTCACCCAGAAGGATCTCAACATGCATCAAAGGCGTTGGATGAAGCTCCTCAAGGATTATAATTGTAAGATCATGTATCAGTCAGGCAAGGGCAATGTGGTAGCCGACGTGCTCAATAGGAAAAATGTAAATATGTTGGCTCGTATAATAGTTTTTGAATGCAGGGTAATAAGGGCTGCATAACAGATACAACTTCAGGATTTGAAAAGGGCCACATGTTTGACCCATCTAGTTGTTCGATCCGAACTGATTTAGAAAATAAAAGAAGTCCAACTGACTGATTCCACTCTAATAGCTCTTAAAAAGGATATAGAACACAGTGCAAATCCAGAATTCTGAGTTTCTGCCGATGGGTTGCTAAGGTTTTAGGACATTGTGTATGTTCCAAATGACAATGAACTAAAAAGGGATATTATAACAGATGCTCACAGTTCAAAGTTTACTATGCATATCAGAAGTACTAAGATGTACTAAAGCATGCAACCCTGATTCTGGTGGAGCGGAATGAAAAGAAAAATTGTCGATTTTGTCTCCAAGTGCCTTGTATATTAGTATATTAAGACAGAGCATCAATACCTAGGTAGATTACTTCAACCATTACTAATACTGGAGTGGAAATGATAACATATCACATTACCAATAACAGAGTTGCCTAAGACATGCTCGGGGCATGATGCAATCTGGATAATTGTTGACCGGCTCACCAAGTTCTCTTACTTCTTGGCCATCAGGATGACCAATCCCTTAAACAAGTTAGCAAGGATCTATATCTGGGAGATAGTCAAGCTACATGGAGTTTCGGTGATAGTAGTATCAGACAAGGACTCCAAGTTCACCTCTCGATTTTGGTCAAGTTTTCAACAAACAATGGGAACGAAATTGTCTCTTAGCACAGTTTTCCACCCTCAAACAAATGGACAATCAGAACGAACCATTCACACACTAAAGGATATGCTTAGGGCCTGTGTTATAGATTTCAGAGGGCATTGGGACGATCACCTACCCCTGATAGAGTTCGCCTACAATAACAGTTATCAAACAAGTATCAACATAGCTTCGTATGAGGCATTGTATGGCGGACCTTGTAGATCACCGATCTGTTGGAAAAATGTGAGTGATAGGAAATTGATTGACCCAAACCTTGTAAATGAGATCACAACAAAGATAACTAAAATCAGAAAAAATATCCAAATAGCCCAGAGTAGGTAGAAGAGTTATGCGGACACCCGAATGAGAGATTTGGAATTTAAAAAGGATAATCGAGTATTTTTTAAAGTCACCTCCTTTAAGGGTATCAACAGATTTGGAAAGAGGAAAAAGTTAAACTCCTAGTTCATCATACCGTTTGAGATCTTGGACATAGTTGATATATTCACTGACAGATTAACACTACCTCCAGTGCTATCAAAAATCCATAATATATTTCATGTGTCTATGCTACGCAAGTAACCCAGATCCTTCGCATATCTTGTCTCATGAGCCACTTCCACTCCAAGAAGATCTATCCTATGAGGAGGTACCGATAGATTTTTTGGACCGGAAGAGCAGAGTACTTCGCAACAGAAAAATTTTATTCGTCAAGGTTTTATGACATAATCACTCGAAGGACGAGATCACTTAGGAGATACAATAAGACTTCAAGACCCAGTACCCTCA